TGGTTTATCGATGAGGATGCCAGTTTCTTTCACTTTTTTCACGAGATAACGAACATACGGAGCTGACGGTGCTTCTCTTCTTCCAAAATCCGTACGCAATTTTCGCCCACATTCTGCAACATTACCATGATTTTCAAAGTAACGTCGCAATATTTCCCAGCGTTGTTCAAGCGTATACACAACCATATTCGTTCAGCGGAAGGATAAAACTAATTATCTGTCAAATCAGACATGATTCGCCACCGACCGGCCGTGCGATCGCGCGCGCCCGCTTCATACAATTTTGTTGGCGCGTCCATTACCAAGAAGCCTCCGTGATTCAAGAAAAAAACACGCGCGGCCATCACAAGCAATCTGCTGCCGCGTGTAATTTCAAGAAGCCTCGTTAACATTATGACTTAAGTGAAAAAGAACTACAATTACCATATATATTATAATAATATGTCATAAATATAAATAAAAACTCAATGCTTAATTAAAATTCTTCTTCCTCGGGTTCTAAAATATGTGGATCAGTATTTCGTAGTTTCCAACGTGGGAAGACTTAAGTAAAATTCATGCAAAATATCTGGTATTAAAGAGAGCAGCAAATTAAATATATTTTTTTCTATATGAATAATGGCTGATATATTATAGGAATATTATCAGGAACACTGGACCCTCTTCTTTCATAATTAAAGATAGAAAAAGGCGAATCTATATCCAGGGTGTCATTATAAATCTGGGTATCCACTTGCACAGCCTCGTGGCGAGCTGCCTCATCCTGAGCGTGCCGCGGGCTGCGGAAAGTACATGTGTTTCCACTTGAACACACATAACATCGTATCGAGCGGCAAGCCTCAACCCGAGCCACGGTTTTCTCAATTCATCATTAACCACCATGGTTGACGCACGTAAAGTCGCTGCAGCATTAGTAGTAATATTAGTCACTACAAAAGAAAGCAATATAAGAAACGGAAACATCGATGCAAGCGGTTAGCAAGTGGTAATTCGTTTGTTAGTTTGCAATACATTTTTAGAGTGTCAAAGCAATCTATTTCAAAAATTGTTCGCAAAACATGTGATGCCTTGGTAAAAGTGCTCAAAGAATATGTGCAGGTATCTTAAAAATGCTTTATTAATCAAAATTTTAGTAAAGTACAAAGTTACAATAATGACAGAGTAGTAAATTGTTCAGAATTACCAGTAGAATCTTGTGAGTTCTCAGAAGTTTGCCCATATTGTTGGGAATTTTGTACGTTCGCAGAAGTTTGGCCGTATTGTTGCTTATAGTATCCTTGTTGTCGTGTACCTGGTAACATCCCGGTATCAGCTTGAAATAAGATATCCATTGTTAAGTATATGTGCGTGTGCCTACGCATACGGGGTATTTCAACAAATATAGGACAGTGTGTTAACAGCAGGCAAGTGTTTCACTCGTGTATCCCTCGTATTTAACTGCGGCGACGGTGACGTGATGAGAGGTACTTCGACCTGTAAACTAATATCATCACGAGCGTTAGAATTGGTAGCTTCCCCCCTTTCTGAGCTGCCCTCCATACCCGACCTGTCCTCTTCCTCGTCCCCTGTGTCTATCGGAGTCACTTCATTCGAGGGTGATTGTTCTTCTGCTGACAAATTGCCTCTCCATGAAACCGGTTCTACATCCACATCTTTGTATTCGTGAATACTGCAATCGGTACCCTTATAAGGTATTAGTTGATTTTGGTGTTTTTTAAATAACAAGGAAGACTTACAGTCTTTGACTAAGTACAACACCTTCCCAATTGTCTTTTCAATGAAGCCTTTGCACCAAATAAACTTTCCATTGACCGTATGCTTTTTATATAGAATGAAATCTCCCTTGGTAAAACTTTGTTTTTTATTTACTTTGGTCTTATTTTGCGAACACTGTTTAAATTTAACGACATCAGCAAGGGCTGTGGATGAGGGCGATGACGACTCAGGTATAATTTGATCAAGACGCATTCTGAGTTTTCTACCGTAAACAAGCTCTGCGGGCGAAACCCCAGTCAGAGTGTGTACGGAGTTCCTGTAATCAAATAAATATTTTAGTAGTTTTTTACTAAATAGACTCGCTCCACTTCCACTAAGCAATGTCGTTTTTATACCCTTTTTAATAATTTTGACGAAGCTTTCAGCCTGTCCGTTGCTAGCGGGATGATAAGCCGGTGACTTCAAATGTGAAATGCCGTTCAATGTACAAAAATTTTCAAACTCATTTGATGTGAACGATGTACCATTGTCACTAACTAAAGTATGAGGAATACCAAACCTAGACATAAACTCACATAATCTTTCAATCGTGGCTGAAGCAGATGTACTGGATTTCATATTGTAAACCTCCATCCACTTAGTATAAGCATCTACTATTATCAAAAAGGTTTGACCGTTTATCGGTCCCAAGAAATCCATATGTACTCTGTAAAACGGTTGTGGGGGGTGTTCCCAATGCGCGATCGGGCCCCGTGCTGGAGTCGGTCGCATTTGAATACATACGTCACACGAAGCTATCATGCGCTCGAGCGCGGCGTCGATCCCGGGAAACCAGAACCGTGAGCGTGCTTCAGCTTTAGTTTTAACAATTCCCAAGTGAGACTGATGTAACTCTGATAAAATATCCTTTTGTAATGACTCCGGAATTACAAACTTGTGTCCCCGCATCAGACAACCGTTTTCATAAGATAATTGCAACCTACACAAATGATATGGCTTTAACCGTTCATCAGACAATTTTTTTTGCCATCCCTTTAAGACATATAGAATAACTTTACGTAAAATGAAATCCTTATTTGTTTCGTCTTGTAATTTGACTAACGATACAGGTAAATTACCTTCCACAACAAAATTTATATAAGAAGCTCTATCCAAATCGGGTATCATAGCATCTACACTGCCCCTGCCCTCCGCGGCTGTCCCCGCCTCCCCTAGGCTGGCGCGCAATAAGAAGTCTGCGGTGTTGTCTGTGCTACGAACATATTCAATTCTATAATTATAGCTACTTAAAAACATCGCATATCTCTGAAGTCTATTCGCAGAAACTTCTGGTATACCTCGATAAGGGCCAAAAATCGATAAGAGTGGCTTATGGTCTGTGCGTAAGATAAAGGGAACCGTCCTGCCATATAGGTACTGGTGGTAACGCCTAACTCCAAAAATAATGGCGGTGGCTTCCTTTTGGATCTGAGAATAACGTTTCTCAGCAGCATTTAGGGTTCGCGACGCAAACGAGACCGGTCGCTCAGACCCGTTTGGTTCTATCTGAGACAAAATAGCCGAAAGACCTGACGGCGACGCATCGACAGTTAAAATGATGGTCGCGTTATGATTAAAATGAGCTAATACTTGATCCGACGCCAAACATTTTTTAATCGCGTTAAAAGCGTCCTCATGTTCATGTCCCCAGTACCATTTATTTCCTTTTTTTAAAAGCTCATATAACGGCTTTAAAATTGCAGACGCATTAGGAACAAAACTTCTGTAATAATTAATTAACCCTAAAAATGATTGCAACTTCAATCTTCAAATATGTGACGAGCCGTACAACGCGAGTACAGATGTACTGTACTTCACCCGTTTTTTTGACCCCGTCATTGGTCCCCAGCGGCCCCACCCTCCGCCACCATCGTCTTCGTTTTGTCCAGCACATCCTTGACTACGTCCAAGTGTTGTGTCGGGACAAGGTCTTTTACCGCCTGTGAAACCAAATGGCTCGCCCCGGTGGGTCCTCCCGATATGAAGCCCATCACGGCGGAGAGTGCCGGGTAAAGCAGGTAGTTTTTTGCCGCCCGTATAATCGAGTCAAGGGACAGGGGGTCCGGCAGCTGGATGTCCGTCACCTTTATGGCCGTCATCTCCGGACTACTGGTGTCCAGACGTGAATATAAGACGTATAGGCGTCTTGGCTCAATGACCTCCGTTGATAGTGACTGTGAAGTCAGAGCAGGTGTCGCGCTCATCATCACAGTGTTAGGCTGGGCAGCGTGTGCGCCCGTCATGTGGTTGGTGATGTATGGATCGCAGTCCACCCACATGCCCATCGGTCTTAGAATCTCATTATTGTTATCAGGGTAAACAACGACCGGAGCATACCGATCGAAGTCTATAGTTCCAATAGCCTCTAATTTGGAGTAGCTGTTCTCATGGGTTATTAACAACCCTCTCCGGTGAGAGCCATCGTATCGAAACACGCAGCTTTTTGCCACTTGGGTCTCAGCCAGTTCCAACTTGCGTGACCACTGCGTCGTCAATACGGCGGGCACGGGATGGTACGACAGCCAGTTTGCGTCATTCAACAGGTCCATGCCATAGTACTCAGCAGTACATTCTTCGTCCCAGGCAAACCACGGGGCGATCATCATTTTAATGTCGACATAACCACACAGCCCGTTTGTCGCCATCCTGGTGTACTGNGTATACCTCGATAAGGGCCAAAAATCGATAAGAGTGGCTTATGGTCTGTGCGTAAGATAAAGGGAACCGTCCTGCCATATAGGTACTGGTGGTAACGCCTAACTCCAAAAATAATGGCGGTGGCTTCCTTTTGGATCTGAGAATAACGTTTCTCAGCAGCATTTAGGGTTCGCGACGCAAACGAGACCGGTCGCTCAGACCCGTTTGGTTCTATCTGAGACAAAATAGCCGAAAGACCTGACGGCGACGCATCGACAGTTAAAATGATGGTCGCGTTATGATTAAAATGAGCTAATACTTGATCCGACGCCAAACATTTTTTAATCGCGTTAAAAGCGTCCTCATGTTCATGTCCCCAGTACCATTTATTTCCTTTTTTTAAAAGCTCATATAACGGCTTTAAAATTGCAGACGCATTAGGAACAAAACTTCTGTAATAATTAATTAACCCTAAAAATGATTGCAACTTCAATCTTCAAATATGTGACGAGCCGTACAACGCGAGTACAGATGTACTGTACTTCACCCGTTTTTTTGACCCTGTCATTGGTCCCCAGCGGCCCCACCCTCCGCCACCATCGTCTTCGTTTTGTCCAGCACATCCTTGACTACGTCCAAGTGTTGTGTCGGGACAAGGTCTTTTACCGCCTGTGAAACCAAATGGCTTGCCCCGGCGACAACCGCCCCGGTGGGTCCTCCCGATATGAAGCCCATCACGGCGGAGAGTGCCGGGTAAAGCAGGTAGTTTTTTGCCGCCCGTATAATCGAGTCAAGGGACAGGGGGTCCGGCAGCTGGATGTCCGTCACCTTTATGGCCGTCATCTCCGGACTACTGGTGTCCAGACGTGAATATAAGACGTATAGGCGTCTTGGCTCAATGACCTCCGTTGATAGTGACTGTGAAGTCAGAGCAGGTGTCGCGCTCATCATCACAGTGTTAGGCTGGGCAGCGTGTGCGCCCGTCATGTGGTTGGTGATGTATGGATCGCAGTCCACCCACATGCCCATCGGTCTTAGAATCTCATTATTGTTATCAGGGTAAACAACGACCGGAGCATACCGATCGAAGTCTATAGTTCCAATAGCCTCTAATTTGGAGTAGCTGTTCTCATGGGTTATTAACAACCCTCTCCGGTGAGAGCCATCGTATCGAAACACGCAGCTTTTTGCCACTTGGGTCTCAGCCAGTTCCAACTTGCGTGACCACTGCGTCGTCAATACGGCGGGCACGGGATGGTACGACAGCCAGTTTGCGTCATTCAACAGGTCCATGCCATAGTACTCAGCAGTACATTCTTCGTCCCAGGCAAACCACGGGGCGATCATCATTTTAATGTCGACATAACCACACAGCCCGTTTGTCGCCATCCTGGTGTACTGGGTGTACGTATTCCGGGTCACCAAATCCGTTGATTCTGCTTCGTATCTCGCCCACACCCGTAGGGACAAGTCAGCGTGCAAACAGAAGTGAAGTCTGCAGGGTGATGGCTCCGGCCAACATCCTGAACCACCCCCGCGCGCCGCCGGCACTCGTGAAGCCGTTTTGTATGTCCTCGGTGACGACGAGGCCCATGTATGTCGCCACCCTAGACATTGAATCCATCGTCTTCAGAGTCATTGCAGGCGCATGATTGTCTGGTTTATAATTCGTCCAGAGCCTGCCACGGTAGGCGGGCTCCACCACCGATGGCATGGTCTGGGTGGCCGTCTCACCTGTGTAGGGCCTAGCCAGCGGACTGAGCCCGCCAAAGTTATATCCGACCATAAGACGTCTTGACTGTGTCGTATCTGTGTCAATTGGCAGCTCAGATGCAAAATACCGTGAATCCGGATAAAGCCGAGGGTTCGGTCCACCCCCCAGCACCCACCCGCCGCTGACCACCTCACCCGGGTCATACCCTGTTTGCTTGGGGTGTATCATTATAGATGGGTACTGTGCTCCATGTAGCTCGGCCGCCACCGCGCACGCCTGTCTCGCGACGCCGTCAATCGCAAGCTTGCTCTCAATTTCACTAATGGCAGTTATAATATCCGAACCGCCTGCCGCGGTCTCAAACGGGACCCACCACACGTCGATCAGGTCATCCACCGGCGTCGGGACAGGCAATGGGACCCCCTCAGTCGGCCTCCGTAGCGCACTCGCCACCGGGATCTCATACCGCGCGCCGCGAATGGAGCCAGGGGCCGAGCTTGTTGTGCAGTCAGTTAGCACAATGAGCGCATTGATAGCGCNATCAGTATTTCGTAGTTTCCAACGTGGGAAGACTTAAGTAAAATTCATGCAAAATATCTGGTATTAAAGAGAGCAGCAAATTAAATATATATTTTTCTATATGGATAATGGCTGTATAGATATATTATAGGAATATTATCAGGAACACTGGACCCTCTTCTTTCATAATTAAAGATAGAAAAAGGCGAATCTATATCCAGGGTGTCATTATAAATCTGGGTATCCACTTGCACAGCCTCGTGGCGAGCTGCCTCATCCTGAGCGTGCCGCGGGCTGCGGAAAGTACATGCGTTTCCACTTGAACACACATAATATCGTATCGAGCGGCAAGCCTCAACCCGAGCCACGGTTTTCTCAATTCATCATTAACCACCATGGTTGACGCACGTAAAGTCGCTGCAGCATTAGTAGTAATATTAGTCACTACAAAAGGAAGCAACATAAGAAACGGAAACATCGATGCTGGATTAAGGAAATATATCGTCAGCGAAATGTTCATGCAAAACAATTGTTGTCAGATATGACCTTTGAAGGCGTAGAAGAAACTATTAAAAATTTTACCAGAATGAACTCTGAAACCTTGAAGAAGTATCAAGCTCGAACCAATAATTGGGAAAAAAGATACATCGTTTCGCAAAGCAATCACAACAAAAGAACGACTGGCCATTACCCTGAGGTTTTTAGCAAGTGGTAATTCGTTTGTTAGTTTGCAATACATTTTTAGAGTGTCAAAGCAATCTATTTCAAAAATTGTTCGCGAAACATGTGATGCCTTGGTAAAAGTGTTCAAAGAATATGTGCAGGTATCTTAAAAATGCTTTATTAATCAAAATTTTAGTAAAGTACAAAGTTACAATAATGACAGAGTAGTAAATTGTTCAGAATTACCAGTAGAATCTTGTGAGTTCTCAGAAGTTTGCCCATATTGTTGGGAATTTTGTACGTTCGCAGAAGTTTGGCCGTATTGTTGCGTGTAGTATCCTTGTTGTCGTGTACCTGGTAACATCCCGGTATCAGCTTGAAATAAGATATCCATTATGGCTTTTTTAACGTGTGCTAAAGTAATTGGATCATATTTTCTAAGTTCTGCAGTAATATGTTTACCAAACGTATCATAACTATCATCTGTATAATTTAACATTTCCATAGCTTTATCTAGATCTATATTATCTTCACAAGCATCAGTCATTTTTCTTTTATTTGATCTTGAAGTTTCGGGCTGCGTCTGTTGTTGATCATCGCGGGGCAAAGATGATCGCTCGGAAGAAGAAGTTTCACGCATCGATTCATTTTCTTCGAATAATTCTTCATTCTGTAAATTAAAATGAATAAAATCATCAAATAATGTTTTAGCAGTACGATAGCCTAATAGTAAAATATGTGACATAATTTTCAGATACCATCATCAGAAGAAGAATGGTTAAAAGTAGCACAAGATTTTGAAAACCAGTGGCATTTTCCTCATTGTGTGGGGGCCCTCGATGGCAAACATATTGTTCTTCAATCACCAATTAATAGTCACGGAGAATACATAAATTATAAAAAAAAATCCAGCATCGTATTGCTTGGCTTGGTGGATGCTAATTATAATTTTATGTATGTAGACGTTGGATGTCAAGGACGCATATCCGATGGTGGAGTTTTTAAAAACAGTGCATTGTACAAATCATTGGAAAATAATGAATTAAAGTTACCAGCATCCTGTATATTACAGACACCATATTTGATTAAAGTGCCCTATGTTATTTATATTAGCTGACAAAGCATTTGCTTTAAACAATTATACTATGAAACCGTTTGAAGGAACCCAGACAATGGTTCTCCGGAAAGAATATTCAATTACCGTCTATCTAGAGCACAAAGGGTAGTAGTAGAAAATGCTTTTGGCATCATGCGTTCTGTATTTAGAGTGTTAAGAAAACCAAAATTATTGGAACCAGAAATTGCTACGAAAGTGGTACTGGCTACTATTTATTTGCATAACTTTTTACGAAAAACAAGGGCAAATATTTATACACCACCAGGAAGTTTGGACTCTGAAATCGATGGAAATTTCGTACAAGGGTCGTGGAGGAATGAACTAGATTCGACTTCTTTTGTGCCTTTACGTGCAATTCCTCGAAGGTCTGCAAATGACGCAAAAGCAATTCGGTCACACTTGGCTACACACTTCGTTTCAAATGGATAAATAACATGGCAACATAGATATTAAATATAAAATATAATTAGCACTAATCACTATCCGAATCAGAAGAAAACATTATGTACGTTTAAACACTGCGAGGTTATGTTCAGAAATGAAAGAAATAACTCCAGAGCACGCCACGACACGACACGTAAATATGTTTCCGCCTTTAGCCCAAAGCTTACTGACTCCAGATACTTACAGAAGGCGATGGTTCTGAATTTGTTGTGTCTCTTGCTGCAGAAGGCGACGATGTGTCGATAGACATTGAGTTTTGAGTATCACGGGGAGAGACCTTGTCAGCCGAGAAGTAAAAGTGCTCATAAGCGAACCATTTCGATATATACACCTCATTATGACCTAGAATAAAAATCATTTTTAGAGGTACACTAAACACGCGAGTAAAATGAGTATAAAATAAATGACAAGAAATATACAACTAATTTTCAAAAACCAATCAATTTTTACCTGATCCGTTATGAGACTTTTTTTATGCCGAGATTTTTCCCTCCGAAAAGATCCACAAAGCGAAGTAATTTTTTTTTACTTCGGAAATGGGTAGTTTCATTTCCTTGCTTATTATTTTCCAAGAATCTTCTTTCAATTGTTTATTTTAATGATGCGATGAAGTTGGATCCCACAAATGTCGGTGATTTTCATATAACTTAATTAATTCGATACATTTCGCATTATCCATTTTGCCGCGTGCCGAGGACACCTACGTCACGGACGTAGGTGTCCTCGGCACACGCCTCACACTGAGGCGTCTTTGAGCATGGCCATTTACCGACACGATTTGGCTCGCTGCGCGGCCGTCTCGTTTGGTTCAAGTCGCGACAAGCCTCGACTCGCTGCACGGTCTCCACTAGATCTGCCTCGGGTCGAGGCAGCCGCTCGGCCCGAAGCTGCCTCAAAATGGATACCCAGCTTAAGAAATAATGCCAAATTGTTGCTCATAGCATAGCCATCTTTTTCCCAGCCATTTAAACTGCCGCCTATCGGTATATTTATGTCTTAAAACTAAATCGCTTTTGAGTATAGATGAAAAATCATAAAAGTCTGTACTTTTAATTTCTACTATCTTAAAATTTTGCTGCTAGACCTGATCAACTGTATCGAATCATGTGGATGAAATACCTGTAATTCCGTTTTCTTTTTTCTATGATACCATGATCTGTATCTACTTCTAAATGGCTGTGGCCAGGTGTCATGAATTCGTGGTCGATTATTTTGATTGCTCGATATTTTTGCAATACCCAAGTAAACATAGAACTGACATGGGAATTCCTATTATGCTTATCGCATGTATCCGAGTAAAAAANGTATCGAATCATGTGGATGAAATACCTGTAATTCCGTTTTCTTTTTTCTATGATACCATGATCTGTATCTACTTCTAAATGGCTGTGGCCAGGTGTCATGAATTCGTGGTCGATTATTTTGATTGCTCGATATTTTTGCAATACCCAAGTAAACATAGAACTGACATGGGAATTCCTATTATGCTTATCGCATGTATCCGAGTAAAAAAATATATGTTTCGTATTATTAGATACGGATGTTTCTAAACACTTGTAAATACAAGTAGCAATTTGGTTAGCTCCCCGAGCTGCTACTGTATCATGCAACACATAGCATACAGCTTCACCAGTTTTTTCGTGGATAGTTAAGTTGAATGTCCATAATTGCCACTTATAAAGGGTACAGATGGACTTAACTTGGTGTTGGCAAACACTGCTGTAAATCAAATGTGTACACCTGTAACGTGTCATCATTCTTGCACATTAACGTGTCAGCTCGTTTAATGTCATAGGCTCGATCAGCTAGCGTTTTGTGGTTACCATGTTGAAGTATGAGATCGTTTTTAACAGATTCCTTTTGACATAGCTGTATCTGCATCTTAAACTTGTCACAAGTGTAACAAGTATTGACACGCGGATTTTTAAATGAAAGTCTTAAAAGTGAAATTCCTGACTATAGATTTTGATTGAGGGTGGATTATTCCGATCTTCACAAAGTAACTCATACATCTTTTGCTTTGTTAAGTGCAGTGGCGTAGCGTGGTAGAGATGGGCGGCGGGAAAAAACCCAACGGGAATAAACCCAGGTTAATAAAATTTACTTTTTTTTAGAACAATGCAATATATTGTGAATTGTGCGAATCGCAAAAAACAGTTTTTTGCGATTCACACATACTTTGCGCTAGCACTAGCTGTTGCCTGTTGTTCGAAACGTCAAAATATGTAGTAGGATTCAGGAATTAAAATAAAACCAGCAGTATATTAAAACAACAAAAAGACGCTTCTTGTTTTATCATAAGGATTTTTCTACGCGTTGTGATGGAATGTTACTTAGTTGCACAAAAAACATCTATTACAACTTCTAAGAATCATTAACCAACAAAAAAAACGAGAGATACTTACTAACAATTATTTATTTACAAAACTTTAAAAAAAAGTGTTTTTTACAATTCAAAATTTTTAGTCACTGTTGCTACTGTCATGGTCATTAAATATATTATTAATAGTGCAAAATTCTATTTCTTGTGTATTTCCACGAGATGTTGAAGGTCGTTCTTCATTTATTAGGCTACCCAACGGACTTGACAATTGCCTGGGTGTAGATAACGGCTTGTCATCTTCGTCATTGTCATCATCTTTATGTTTGTGTAACAGGTTCCAATTAAACGATATAAAAGCTATTTTTGCTGCCCTGTCTGTAGTCAATCTATTTCGTTTCTGACTGTGTATATGCGCATGCGTGCTAAAAGATTGTTCAGTGGCTGCTGAAGTAGAGGGAGCAGTTAGAATACGTACTGCAACCCTACTCAGCAATTTGGATCTGCAGAGTCCCCTCCACCAAACTACCGGGTCCATTTCGGCGACATGCTTCCATATAAATGGTCTGCTCCATAAACCTTGCTTAACCCTATAAGTAATGGGCTAAATCAACACCAAAGTCAATATTGAGTGATTGGCTCACGTCGTGTATAAATTCCATGGAATCCACTTCGTGTTCTTCTAATTCAATGTTTGCGATCTTGGATCTAATAAATATGCAGCATAATGAATAGGTTTCAAACAATTATTTGTTCGCCTAATTACAGCATTTGTAATATCTTGTTTGTGATGCTCATTGAGAATGGATATATCCGGAAATGCAAAATTAAATATAGACTTAATATCTTTGAAGGCCATGTAAATTTCATTTATAAGTATTCCATTGCCTTCAAGTNTCAATGTTTGCGATCTTGGATCTAATAAATATGCAGCATAATGAATAGGTTTCAAACAATTATTTGTTCGCCTAATTACAGCATTTGTAATATCTTGTTTGTGATGCTCATTGAGAATGGATATATCCGGAAATGCAAAATTAAATATAGACTTAATATCTTTGAAGGCCATGTAAATTTCATTTATAAGTATTCCATTGCCTTCAAGTATGAAAAATTTATCTGTTTTAGGTTCCAGTAGTTTTATACAATTTTCTACCATGGTCCAGAAATTTAAATCTAATAAATTTGATTTTATTTCTTCTGAAATAGTGGCATCTTCGTGAACAGCTAATGTTTGTAATTCTACTTGGTATTTTTTTAAACTTTTTAACGCAGTAACTGCCCCAGCAAGTTTATTATATATATATTTTAATGTTTCGCATGAACCTTTTTCTTATACAATCTGAGCTAATAAAGCGCTCATACTTTGGTTTCTTTTTATTGCTTTTGTCGTATCTGTGGCAACCGATATAAACGCATTAATAGGTTCTAGTTTTAAGCAAACTTCGCATAGCAAATTCAATATATGTGCTACACATCTCAGCGGTATTTTAAGTGCATACGAATCTTTAACTATCTGAAATGCCCTTTGAATATTATTTGCGTTATCTCCGATAAGAGTTACAAATTTGTGGCTTCCGTGCTTTTAACAAAAACAGGCTCGGGTTTTGCAATAATAAAGTTGATGATACCTTCATCACACTGCAAATGCAAATCATTTATAGACTTCAGTTCGTCTGCAATTTCTTTGACCATTTCTTTATAAATAGTTTCCAAATGTGTTGTGGAGAAACTTTTCTGGATGGTAACTTATAAAGTGGTCGCAAATCGTGAAAATATCGTGTCCACAGCGGACGTTCAACGATGGATAAAGAAGAACCGGTAACAAATATTGCCTTTGATAAGAGCTGGTGTAGATATAATTTCTTTTCTGTTGAAATTTCTGATGAAGTCGTACTAATAGAAGTTGTATCCGTAAAACTGTTATCCTGTGATATTTCATGCTGTGATTCATCTTGCAAGGGCAGATTTGTGGCAGTTGTGCCAGTAACAGGTATTTTCTGTAGTTTGTTCTTGATGACAGTTGGACATCTATAACATTTCAAAAGATGGCTGGTCATCTTGCTGACTTTGCCAAATTGGTAAAATTTCAGTGTGTGGTGCATTTTACTGTTTTACTGGTTGCTGAATGAAAATGGTTATCCCATACATCAGTATTTTTCTTTCTGAGCATGATGTGATCTAAGGGAAAAACAAAACAAATGTAAAAACAAATGCATGAGTTGTTCTAAAGTATTGTATATGAACAGAGTAGGTAAACCTACGAAACTAATATGAAATAAGTATAAATGCCCAAAAAAAGAATTCATACTTTGCCCAGTTTGCCTAAAACGCCCGAGCGTTTGGCCATTTCTATACATGACTCATTTCAACTTTTAAATATAAAATAGCTATTTAGCTAGCTTATTTATTTAATAGCTGTAAAATAGCTATTTCCTACAGTAAATAATCTTAGAGAATCAAAATATATCGATTTCGATGAATAAAAGTACAAGGTTTGCAAGGAATCCGCAAATATAGTACTTAAATCTTTTATAGACTATTAAAACAATTTTTAAAGCTCACACTTACCGGTAAATTAGCGTTAATAAAAAGAAATAGGCATCGAAGTCCGTAAGAGAAGCAGTGGTTGTCAATCCAAAGTAAATCACATATTTAATCACTAGGCAATCAAAAGTCCACAAAAAAAATCCAAGTGGTCAATTAACTCAGCAAATTAACACAAGTGCCCACAGTAAGAAGCCAAAACAACGTGTGAGATAGATAGATCATCAAAGCGTACCCCACTGCTACTACCTGCTTCCCCCGCCCCCCTACCCGCGTAGGTACATAGTTTCGGGCTACTTATCACTTTAAGAATGGATAAACACACACAAACAGACAGGTTTTTTATTTAATTAGATAGCATGGAGTATATATAACGTAATTATTGAATTATGAAAATAAGCCAACTTAGATTAGCTCTAACTAGTAGTAATAGTACTTAAATAGTACGTACTATTTGATATACGTGTCGGGGAAAGCTCTTCCTGATGGCATCGTCATTAGTGGCTGTGGGCTTAGTGGGCTTCATTGGGATGAAATGCGAGCACAAAACACAATGAATACGTTTTTATCACTAGTTTAATTTAAACAATACTTGATTACTTCACAGTAATATTATACGAGAATATAACACTTTAGACCGAGCAGCGAGTTCGGTGCACCAATCTCACTTTAACTATCTCCAACGATCCAACTTGATACGTTTTTATGCTCCAAAAATGTGTCAACCGACAATACAAGCCTTCTCAAAGTAAAGATGGTGCCTCGACCACGCTCGAGACAAATGCTCTGCTCTGATTGGTCGTTGCCTACGTGAAGTTACAGTTTCGATACCCTTTTATTACAATTTCTTTTTATAAAAGGTTTTAAAGCTATAGAAAAACGTAACAAACGAAATAAAATAAAATTAGGAATTATGAAAGTAATTACAACGTAAAAATAATAATAATGAGCGTTATGCATGTAATCAAGAATCATATCGACTCATTACTTCCTCTGACATACATATTACCTAGATGTTACATGTGCTAAATATGAAAAAACCCGAATATTATCCCATTCGGGAATTTTCCCCGGGTTTTTTCCCACACTTGGGTTTTTTCCGGGTAAAATCCCATATCTAAGCGTGGGTGTCAGCCGTCTGGGGCGGAAGATAATTTTGCCGCCCTTTTATTTAGGTATTTCACCTTGATGTATACTATACATTCATTCTAGATTATTTTTTGACAAGAGCAGTCATCATTATTTTGCATTCTATCTACAGGTAAGATTTTAAATAAAAAAGTTTATCTAAATGTTACAATCGCGTTTATTAATACAAAAAATATTTTATTATACTTCAACCACTTATGGCAGCCACACACGTTAATTTAGGTTTGCGCAAATATATCGTAACGTCTGTGGCTGCCACTTGAGCCATCTGTGGTCACTCGGGCATAACGATTTATTTGCGCAAACCTAAAAAAGCGCTAGTATATCGTAACATATGTCGCTGCCATTAGATACATTGTTATAACAGGTACAATACCTATCACTTAGGATTAGGTACAATTGGACGATCGACAAGATTAAATAATTAGTGAATTGAATATAAAACGCAAATCAATTTTTAATAAAAACAAGAACTATAATTATTACGTAATATTTATTGAAAAATAATATAAGTATTCTAAGCATAAAAACCAAAGTCTTTAATTGAAAATTTATACGTCTACTTTTTTTAAGATTAAAGTCTTTTATTGCACCATCAATGTCTATAGCATCGCACACCTCTTCCTCAATAGACAAGATAGCCAAATTAGTAAGTCTTAAAGTACTCATTGTTGATCTTAAATAACTTTTAATTAACTTCAATTTTGAAAAACTTCTCTCACAGCTGGCATTGCTTATGGCAACTGTGAAAAATATTCGTAGCATTTTTTAAATATTGGTTAGAGTATCTTCTAGCTTGGAGTTTAAGATAAATTAAAATAATTTAAGTGAGTCTCCATTAATTTATTTATTTTCGTTGCATGTAACAGCGATAAAAGTCCGCAGTCAAAGTCGTTCCAGCTTGAAATCCTGCTCGTCAATTTCGACAGATGCGTAGTCTAGATTACATTTAGTGTCGTCTGGATCTAATAATATGTTGAGTCTATATAGGGCAAGGATTAATAAGACACGTGATCAGTTAAGTGACTAACGTATATTGGGATTACAACCTAACGTGCTATCGACAGCCTGACGATCTCGAGACTGGCGTAGCATCATTGCAATATAATTACCGCTAACACATACATATAATTGTTAGTTGCTATGGGGACATTTGTGGTCCCTACAAATATAGCCGGCGTTAGATAAGTAAACTTATCCGTTAAATTCTGTAGCTGCTGAAACCGCTCATGAATTTCTAAACAGCTTTCGTCTCAACTCATTTTCACAAGACAAGTTAGCATCCCTAATTCCGTCTTAAAAAATATGCCTTCTTGTCCGAGATTCTAAGGAAATTTCGAGTTCGTCACACATATTTTTTGCATAGCTTACAGCGCCAGCTGCCCATTACTCTCGTTTCTCTGTTAAGTAATAGGTAGTTTTACAGTCCACTGCATTTTCCATAAAGATCTTATTTAAGTTGAGGCCCCTACACGAATTTTTATTAGGTAGGTACTTACATCAAATAGGTAATACCTACTTACTTTAGATAAATATAGTGTTAAACAAGCAAAACAATTTCAGGTTCTCTAATATTCTATAGATTTTAAAAATCTGTAATATACAAATCAAGTAAAAAAGTAGTTGGTGGATAGATTACTGGTCACTCTCATTATTGGTGACTTTTGGCAAAGTATAGGTTGGTAGAGGACATTTGATCATGAGGCAATTTGAGATATTAATGTAATTAGAAGCTACTCATACATACCTCATCACAGTGATTGTGAGATGGTAATCCCATCACACTGGTCCCAGATAACTCCATTACCACTTCCTTTTCTTGAGTGACATTAATTCCACCCCTGTTCCGTACAAACTTCTCCGAAAAGTACTATACTTGGTCTTTGTAGTGAAACACACGCAAGTTGGTTCAATACTGGTTTATTTTAAATACACCCCCACTTACAGGTAGTTATATTGAATGCATGACTTACGTCATTATAAATATACTACAGTCTTGGCCCTCTTTTTTATATTTTCATACTTAGCGCAAAGAGTTCGGTTCGAGAGTTCGATTTGTGTCTCTACTAGTGATGGGAATAAAAGAGAAATGATACCGTGCTATAACATTTATTTTTATAAAAGATCAATCGTAATGTTTGTACGATCAGCATATAAGGGAAAAAACCATTTTGCTTTTTACAATATAGCACATTCAAAACAAGCCAGTTAAGCAAGTGGCACTCACCTCGATCTGCCCCCAACGGTCTGCTGTAATTTAGGTACTCTGCAAGATATGTTTGTTTAGCACGTCATCACACCTTTCTAGCTTAAAATGGAAGTAAAATATATTTTGTTCTCAACAATTCATCGTTCATTTTTATAAATTGTTAATAGTTTTCATATTTACCGGTAGCCTGTGGATTTTTTATTATGTCCTTGATTTCACGTATGTACTTCAGTTCAAGCTACGAATTAATATGGTAGAACTTTGTAGTATTCTCCCGTATACAAGAAATTTGAAATTGCACCTCCGCTTGTACAAACCAAACTTCGAGGTCCTCTGGCCAAAATGGCGGCAAACGCACGGCTACGCGGCTTACGACCAATGATTCGGCGGCGTCCGCGGCGGCGTTATCTGCCTTCCCTGTGCCATAATAATTCAGCGTCGGTGTTACCACTGGTATTTGTGATAGCGGGAGGCGCCGTGGCAATGAAAACTAGTCACAGACTTTACTTACCTTAGCGATGAGACGAATTGTATTTTTCTTCCTTTAATCTTAAAAAACCGAAATCTATCCTGGAAATCACCCAAACAAAAAGACTTTTTGACAGTGGATCTCAACGCTTGATGCTATGTCCGAAAAATTATACAAAATTATACAAATCTTGCAAAGTTGGAAAAAATTTGTATTTCCACACAAGAGCTGACGGCGTCATTTATCACCGCATATTTACATACTCCGCGTCACCATTATACACATTGCTCATAACACTATGCTCCATGATAACCTTGACCCACATATTTTTTTAAATCAATATTTTTGTCGATAAATAATGTAGTCACCTGGCTTACTAAACCTGCTGTACTATGTCTGATAGCTGCATAAAATTCTAGAAACACTTCTTTTACTTCTGTATCAACTAGATGTCCATTTTCCGATTTCGTTATCATTACATACCTCACAACAATGCTTAGCTGATAGATATACCTTCGATATGTCCTGTGTCGTATCCATAATGATGGCGAAGCACGGGGACGCTCTAATTTGTTCTAGTAGAAGGTTTTCCAGTTTGGACCCAGATAACTTGTAGATCCTAAAAACATAAAAAGCACGATTTAGTCACTACCTTTCACTAAAGGGAACAGACTAAAGAAAAATCACTATCTTTGGGCATATCCAAAAACTCTTTGCAAGGGTAAGTATGACATCGAATAACCTTTGAAGAACCATTTTCCAACATGACGCTTCCGTTCGAATTTCATTTTCAAGGTCCTTTTCGATAGTGCATGTTTTTTTCCAAAGTTCATACATGCTGCCGATTGGCCAATTGAAAAGCTGTGTTGTTTGATTCTCTCTGATAAATGCCTTCAATCCTGAGTGCCCATACGAAGGCGGCACCGAAAATTTCGGGAATTAACGAAGTGACACAACATTACCATTTAAAAATGTATTTATTGCTTTTCGAAGTATTCTCCGCGAAATTTGACACATTTTTCCATACGATGGAACCAATCATTGAAGCAACCATTCCATTCGGAAGTTGGGGTCTCCAAAATGGCCGTTTTGTAGGCGTCCACAGCTTCTTCAGGTGATGAGAATCTCTGTCCACGCAATTTATTCTTTATTTTAGGGAAAGTATAGAAATCATTAGGGCTTAGGTCGGGGCTGTACGGCGGATGGTCTAATAATTCTATGTTTTCTTGCTCTAAAAACTCTTTTGTTCTGTGCGCGGTGTGAGAACTCGCATTGTCGTGATGGAGGATGACGCGGCGGTTGCAGTTCTCTTTACGGAGTTCAGAAACGACCTGTGGCAAACAAATGCTAGCATACCATTCTGCATTAACCGTTCTTTGTCCCTCAAGAGGAATAGTCGTCACATGGCCGGTTTTGGAGACAAATGTGGCCACCATTTTTTTTGCAACACCGTGAACGAACAATTTTTGTTGGCTTTAACTCATTTTCGAACACCCAAACTCGTGACTGGTTTTTGTTTCGGGTTCGTACGCTTATATCCAGGATTCGTCACCTGATACAATGTTGTATACAGCATTTGAGGATCCTGCGTGGAATCTTTCGAGAGTTCTGACGCACCAAGTAACGCGAGCCGCTTTTTGCTCTTCACAGAGCGAATGCGGTATCCATCGGGAAAACAACTTTTTTACACCTAATTGTTCATGCAAGATTATTTGTATTTGACTCATGCCAATGTCTAAAGTTGCCTGAATTTCGCGGTATGCCACATGTCGATCTTCCTCAATCAGCTTACACACAGCATCAACGTTTTCTTGGGAGACTGCAGTTTTTGGACGACCTTGACGGGGATCATCACTGAGCTTGACACGTCCACGTTGAAACTCAGCAAACTAGCGATAAATTGTGGTTTTGGATGGGGCTTCATCACCAAATGCAGAAATCAACCGGTCAACACACTGTTTTTGTGTTAAACCACTTCGAAAGTCATAATAAATCATCGCTCTTGAATTTTCTCGAGTCAATTCCATTTTCTCAACGACTAAACAAGTTTGACAAAACCTCGTGACAAGACCGAGAATCTTTTTTTAATTAAATAAATGGTATTCGATTTTTAAAACCAATGAGTTTACAATTAAAAAGATTTTAATATGACAGGAACAGTGGAAATATTCCATTCCCGATACTTTTAGTGCAGCCTAGTACACTAGGGCTGCCATCCCCAAATTAAAAAAACTAGGATTTGTAGTTGAAAAAACCAGGACAATTCCCTTTAAAATCATGACGCAACAATGGTTGCAATAATTATAAATAATATGTAGTGAAAATAGGTGAAATGAAACTTAGGTAATTAAAATAATCATATTTTTTAATAAAACTATTTGAATATAAATTATAAGTTGAAACAAAACAGTATAATTTATACGTTGAATACCAGTTGAAAAAAAACTACAACAAACACTAGTTTGTAACAATTTATTTAAACTTAAAGTCAGTTATAGGATCTAATAAATTCTAATATTTCTTATTAATTTTTGCCATAATTTTCAACCCCTCCAATTTCCTTCAGTATCTGTGGTTGAGTTAACAAATAATCATAAAATTCGTCACACTTCAAATCTATGTTATAGATAGTTTTGATGATTGCAGCTACTGTTGTTGGCAATAATGGATTTCTTTCTTTTGACCACTAAAAATTTGTGAGGGAAAAGACTGGACATAAGCGTTATGACCCGGTATACTAAATACATATTTAGCCACTTTTCGTAGTTCTGCATACTGTTCTTCGGAAATGCATTGCTTGAAACATGTTAGCCACAAGGCATTTAAGCTTTGTCTTTTTAGCTCTGTCATCTTAAAACGGTCCTTCAGTTCAGATATGATAGTATAAATTCTATTACAGGCTGTAAATGATACTTTATACCTGCCTTCTATAGTATCGTCATTTGGGAACACCACACCCTGTAGACGTTGTTAGACACCTTGATTCTGGGCGTCGATAGGCCCGAATCCCAATAGATTACGTGTTGGAGTCAGATTAGCTGGGATTAATTGTTGAGGTAATGGTTGATAGCTAAAATTATTCTCTTGGCTGGCGATTACGCGATTTGCCGTGACCAGAGGACAAATGTATGCTTCATACACGTTACGAGTCGTCGCGTTAATCGGACCAAAGTTTCCAGATGGTACATCGTCAATTGGACCCTGTGGTATAGCGAACTCAGGGAGGTGAAGTTTTAGATCAACTCCCGTTTGCGGTAAAACATTGCCGGCATGCGATATATAATCAGTTATCGTCTTCGGTAGACACTGATAATCTGGTAAGACTTCACGAAGATCAGTTCTTGTACCGAGTATATTTTGTCCATTTTGGCGAGCTACTTCGGCAATCTGTAGATTGAGGTGATTACAAGAAACGTCTGTGAAAAATGAAAGTGGTAAACGTTCTGCTAGTCGCGGGTCTATACCGCGGATCTTTTCATAAGTATCTTGAACGACGGGAATGATACCTCCGAACTCAAAATTTTTGTATGGACATCTTCAAGCGGCACCAACGTTGAATACGGTCCGATTTCATACATGGGTTCATCATGTGATGGTGAATCCTCCGTTGCTGGTTTGAGGGCTGAGGCATTAACCTCCTCAGACATCTTCTTATCTTCTAATGCCTTCTTGAAACCCTGAGACCTGGCGCTAGGCTTGCGGGGTTGGGTTTGGCACGATCTTGGTGAAATGGAGGTGGTTGGTATGGCCAATCACGCAGCTGCTCACGGTTAGTGAAGTGGTCGTAACCATTAGCACATCTCTTAGTCCACGGCGGTTGCCACCGGATTGACTTTGAGTGTTTGTTATTATAAAAAAGGAGTCTGCCTTCCATAAGGGAAAAAGTTCGTCGTGAATTATCACAGAATTCGTTACAAAAACGACAGCATTTAAGCTGTCGTCTTTTCAATGCTGTTATGTTTGTAAGTATGCACTTCAGTGTGCCAATTGAAAAATGGTTGGTTATCAGTTATGAACATGCATAATTGGGGCATCGCTACATATTTCAAGTGATTTTTTTACTGGGACCCTTGCTGCAATATGAAGTGTTTTTTTTTTAAATGACAAGTGTTTCTGCCAGCATGCATTGAAAAACAATACTAATTTTGGTCCATTGCTTATATGTTTTTATTGTGCCACCTATACCATTGAGGCACAAGGATAATTCCTCCTACTGGCGTCGTACTTCATTTCTACCATGTTGAGATTTTATGAAACCTTTGGCCATGGCTTTGCTCCAAATAGTCTATTAAAGCCTCAATTTGCGCTAGCGACGGATGAGACGCACGTTCGTTAATACTATAGGTAACACATTTAAATTTTACATTAAAAAACAAATGAATGAAACATGAAACACAAACTAAAAAAAACTAACTTTTACTTATCTCATGATCTTTTTTTGAAGTTAAATTCACTCACAAAGTAACACCAAAACTGCTTAAGCCAAAATGAATACAATACGACCGAAGTAACTTGACGAGCCTGAGTATAGCCGCAGGTGAACTTTCGCGCATGTACACTCGTAAACAAAGTGTTATAGGCATTCATTTTTAAATCAAAATGCGAATTAAAATTTTATTATACGGGGACCAAGTACAAATAAAATGAATATCAAAACGTTGAGACAGAAAGCTATAAAAAAACTTAAGAAATTAAGGATTCATTAACCTTTCGATAGTAGCAGATTTTTATCACAATTACACGCAGTATTATTTATAGTTAAACTTTTTTATTATTTAATCACTATCGCTAAAGGTGGAAATCCTTAACATAAAGTCATCTGCCCCTTACGTACTTTGTGAGGTACTTGGCATAGGTTCGTCATCATTGGCAATATAAGAGCCAGGCATTGTACTAATTGTATTAAACCAATTTGCTGCGGATGCAGATCCAAAGTCTCCAAAACCATTCTGGTCCATGAGAACAGCAGCACAAAGCCCACTACTACTAGTCGAGTTGTTAGGTAACCATCTCAAACACAGCCTGATAACTTTAAACTCATCATAAGTATTAACAAAGGTTTTTATTAGTTCGGAAAGTTTAACTTTAAATGACCACGTTCCAGTAGTTCCAGATGTCCGCTTCCAAGGAATACTAAGACGTGACGGGAATCTTAACTGGTCTTAAATAATTATTAAAATATTTCCTGCCTTTTGGCTTTCTTCTACTTCTAATAGGCCGACGTGGAATGTAGCCAGCTTTCTTCCTTCCCATAGTGTTGACGTTAGACAACGTTTGATATAGAGGAAGTATAGAGTTATAATCTCCCTGATATATATTGTAACCAAAATACGCAGATTTTGCCGCAGTTCTCGTGGCACTGAGAATTGCCCGGCGCTTCTTATTCATTAAAATGACTATCAAATGATGTAAGAGGGAAGCTAATCCTTCGGGAATTTCTATAAATAAGGAGTAATATAATAATAATCAACACGATAAAGACGAATAAAAGTAAAATAAGAATAATGTCTAGTGTTGAATTAGTTATGGTTACGGGAGTAAGGTGAGTAGTGTCATTCAACTTCTTCCAAATAGAAAATAAACATTTTATAGAAGTATCACAAAATTCAGGGACCATCGTCCTGAATAGAAAATTTTATAACATATGTATATAAACCAAAATATACATATAAATATATATATCTATCAGATGAGTAATACTCGGTAAGATTGCAACTTTAAAACAGTTATATTTTAAACTGTTAAACAGTTGTCCACCGGAAATCCTTGCGGAAAAATCGCATAATTGCCGTCGCTCTCACTTTCAGGTTCATTTTCTGAGTCTGAACCTGTATTAACGATGAATTGTTTCGTCATTTCGTCAATGATATGATCGCTTTGCCTACATTCATGTTCGACCTTTTGTACTCTTCAGCATAGAGCACTGCATTGTTCCGGCCGGGTTACGTTCCAGCCGACGTTTTTAGCAGCTACGTGCCCTTTAATAGCAGCC